TTTGTTAGTTAATAACCATTAATGAACAAAAATGTAATGTGTAATTAAAAAATTACCTTTGTATGATCTTAATTAGTAAAATAATTCAAATATTTGAAATGTGCCTAGTTTAACTAACTAACAACAATTTCACAATGAAGGAGCGTCCAAAAAATCTATCCCCCCCACTATCAATATGCAAATATACATCGAATATAAAACTAACCCGCGTTCATATTTTAGATAAATGTAGAGAAGTGACGGTAAGTGATCACGTTAATAAAAGTTCGATTTTTTTACTTACCGATAGATGTTATTCTAAGTAAAAGATACTATTTTTTTTAATAAAGAAACAGAAATTATTCATATATTTCGCAAATTTCAGGGATTTTTGACATTCCAAATTTTGCACTCTTATTCATGGATTTCAGGGTGAATGAATAGAGTTGAATTCTATGTTTACATTAATGGAAACTTTAGTTTTCGTTTAGGTTCTGAAATATTGAAATTACGTATTATTTTATTTTCATTTTATAATTTTAAAACCTGATATTCTACATAAATACTTGCTATCGATTGTATTTTCTTTGTTACAGTGTACTTACTTGCTCTTTATAAAATTGTCCCCAAACAAATTTTACCGAGAAGAAACTATTTATCTGGTGTGCAGGTAGCTAAAAACCCTATTTAATGTCTGACTACAAGCATAAAAGTGGTGCTCAAAAGAGAAAAAAGATAAAATATCCATGATAAAGAAGACAACAAATAAAATTGATACATTTTTTGCTAAGACAGCTACATCCTCTGAACAAGGCAAAGTTACAACTGACTTTGGCTTACAAGATAAAACATCAACATGTGCAGAAGCACCATCTGAATTTGAAATCACCTGATGAAAGCGAATTCGATGAGCCACCATCTAAGATTTTAAGGCCTGATTCCATGACAACCAGTACGCAGGTTACACATGCAAAAAGTGCGTATTTTTTAAAACCGGATACCAGCCATAATGCGTCAATTTCACAGGAGATGTTCTGGAAATTTCATCCAAACCAGCCTGTATGTAATATACCATTTAATAGTGCTGTTGTATATGACAGACAAGGCATTCAGGGCATGAATATTAACAGAAAGTGGGTAACATACAATGAAGAAAATAAGAGTTTACATTGCTCATTTTGTCTGATGTATGCTCCCGAAAAAAGTCGAAATATACAGATGATCCAGGGCTGTTCTGATTGGAGACACATCGCAACGAGACTTTTGGAACATGAAAAGAGCCAGTGTCATAAGCATTCTACTGATGCATATTTTCTGAATGCTTGTGAAAGATCCGCCAAGCACAATTTGTTAAAGGAACAACTCTCCTTAAGAACCCAACAAGTTCTTCAGCATCGCTCTGTTTTAAAGTGTATAATTGATGCAATATTTTACATTGGGTTTCAAGTTTTGTCTTTACTGCGGCAAATATGGAGAAGCTGTTGCAACTGCATTTGATGAAAATAATCAGGACAATGCTGGGAATTTTTAGAGGCTATAAAGCTTCTTGCAGAGTACAATCCACACCTGCAGGAACATTTGCAGAAGGTGGTTTTGCAAGGCAAACAAAAAGATCCATCTAAGAAAGGGCGTGGCAAATTTGTTACGTATTTTTTTTAAGTAAAACAACTGTCAATAAGATAATAAATATTATTTCAGACATGGTTAAAAAAACGAAATTGTGAAGGAGGTGAAAAATGCAGGGATGTTTTCAGTGCAAATTGACTCTACCCAAGACATTTCTGCCCATGATCAGTGTGCCATTGTCCTTAGATATGTAGTTGGAGACAGAGCTAAAGAAAGACTTGTTCGCCTGGTAAATGTGAATAATTCAAGTGGAAAATGCTTGCACAGCCTGTTACGAAATTCACTTGCAGAGATAGGGCTGACATTGGAACAGTGTATTGGAGATTCGTTTGATGGAGCAGCAAATATGAGTGGTGTTTACTCTGGTCTTCAGGCACTTATGAAAGCAGCTCGCCCAAGTCACATCCATATTTGGTGTTGTGCACATGTTCTGAATCTGGTGATCAGTTATGCAAGCAGTGGATGTGTTGCATCAGTTAGTCTTTTTGGTTTGCTAAATGAACTATGCTCATTTTTCAATGATTCCTACAAAAGGATGAAGGTGTGGAAAGAGCATATGCAGATCAAAACAGGAAATAAGAAACGCCTAAGACTAGAGCGTATTGGTCAAACTAGATGGTCAAGTAGAAGCAGAGCACTTCGAAAATTGTTTGGCAATTACGCAGATCAGTCATCTGAATTTTTTTCGGACCTTCTGATCATCTTTCAGGAAGTAAGCGAAGCAACTGATTTCAAAGGATCAGTTCGCTATGAAGCACAGAAATTGAGTGAAAACTTGCGCAAATTTGAAACCATCTTAATGGCATTTACATTCATACGAATTTTTGAAATTACAACACCTGTGTCAGATTATCTGCAGACACCAGGCCTGGATATCATGCAGGCTTGGCGCATGATTAACAAAGCCACTGAAAATATTGAAAAAATCTCAAGAGATTTTAAGGGCATTTATGAAACTGCGTCTGATTTTGTTGTTCGTGCAAATTATAAATTAGAAGAAGTGAAGATTTTTGTCCCTAATAGCTTCTCAATTTCAACCATGAGATCTAGTCGCTCAGCACCAGAAGGTATCACAGACGAGAAGAAAATTTTTGAGGTTTTATACCATAATGCGGTTATTGATGCTGTGCTCTCCAGCATGCGAGCTAGATTCTCGTCTCATGAGAAGCTCTATAAGCAAATTTCCTGCTTTGATCCAAACAGGTTTTCTGAAATTTTGGCATCCCCACAAAACATTGAGCTAGGTTTGATTGCTAATGCAATACACCAGAAATTGACATAGTGGCACTACAGGATGAACTGATTTCATTTGCATCAAGCTACAAAGACTTGAAAAAAGGGCTGCTAGAAAATATAAATGACAATGAAAATGATTCAGACAGCTTGGATTCAGAGGAGGAGGATACAAATGTTACTCAATCATCTGCCAAGACAACATGTAAGAATTGTTTGTCATGTGCTTTCAAGCTATTATCTGAGTACAGGCTGTGTGCAGCTGCATATGAAAATTTATATGCTGCATATAAATTTATTGTAACTCTAAGCATCACACAGTGCACATGTGAAAGATGTTTTTCTAAACTAAGACTGTTGAAAACAAGGCTGAGATCTTCGCTCACACAAAATAACTTGGAGTCACTTATGCTAATTGCTATTGAAAAGACATAGCAATGAAAATCAAATCAAACAAAGACAAAATTATTGATAAAATTGCAGAATCCTCTACTGAAATGAGTACAATGTTGTTTGTTACTGTAATCCTTGAAAGTTGATATTTGAAATTTTTGGCTCAGTATTATTATTGTAAAAAAGCATAGTATATCTTATATTAAGACGTATTAAAATGTAAGTAATATTTTAAAAGTGTATGTTAACACATTTTATTATTTGTTTTTAATATCTATTATAAATTTTATAATTTAGTACATTGTTTACGTGTTGATTCGCAGTAATAAAATGGAAATTTTGTTTGACATGTCATTACGCGGCTTTGTTGTTTATCATTATCATTATGTGTCCATGAACATCTTTATGAGCTTCAAGTTTTCAAATCTTTTGATGCATATAAACGCATACATATCTTAAATAGTGATGGGACGTTTAATCGGAATCGTTAATCGTAAGAATCGTGTATTTTGGGGAATCGGAATCGCATCGTTAAATAAATACTTTAGATTTCCGATTCTTTCATTACGTTTCTCTTAAATTAGTCTGATGTTGAAAAAAGAAAACTTTTTTTCCATATTTCTAACCGGTAAGAGAGAAATGTACCATTTCATAAAAATAACAAGTTAAAAAATGAAACCAAAGAAATACGTTATTAAAATGTATTTGATTTGCTCTTTTTTTCTTTCTTTCATTTTTTTAGGTCAAACTTATCCCACTTACACTTAACTTAATCAGTGTAACAGACACAGTATATTTGGAGTGGGAGTGGGACTAATTGACTTTGATCTCCTTCCTACAAACAGTTTCTTAACTATTTTTTTTTTTAATAAATCTAGATAATGAATATTTTTCAGGATTTTTTTTTTTTATGAATGCAGACATTGAATTTTAAAATTCTTCTTTAGGTGTTAAAAGGAAAATAATTAGAAATATTTACGAAGAATAAAATTAAAAGAAATAACAAGGTCCTGCTTTTTAAAATATTTACAAAAAATACAAAAGACAGTTTTTTTAAAGCATTATTAAAAAAAAAAAAAAAAAAAAAAAAAAAAAAAGAAAAGAAAAAAGATTAATTTAACATTGAAAACGATTGCATAAAAAAAAAAAAAAAAACTGGCTTCCGTTTCAAAACAAAAATTCCGTGATCGATTCCGCGATCGATTCCGTGATCCCGTGATCGCTGAAAATTGGGGTTCCCTACACATACAGGTAGAACCTAGGTATCGGGGAAGGAATCGAATCGGAATCGTCTTGGTATCGGAATCGTGAATCAACATTTTCCTGGAATCGGTATCGGTATTGGAATCGGAAAAAAATTAGGAATCGTCCCAACACTAATCTTAAACTTTTTTTTTTCTTATTTAAGCCAATATGCACAGATCACCTGCTGCACAGCCTCTATATGTGGCATTTAACTGTAAAAAATTGGGAATCTGGGGGGCCCATTGCATTTTCGGTCCGAGGGCTATAATTTTGAGCCCAGTACCTATTGCCTTACTTAGGGTGAATGAGTGAAAATGTAATAAATGTGAGATGAATCTAATTTGTAGATTGCAATAATAAACCTGATCTGATGTTGCTCTTTTATTTTCCTACAATTATAACAATTATTATTATTATTAATAATAATTATTATTATTAATAATAAAGTTTATAGAAACATTTTTATTTGTTTTCAGATAATTTGTCTTTTTTTTCTGAATGTTTTATTTAAATCTTTGTTACAGAATCAAAATATCCTTTCAAGTGACCAGTAATTATGGAATCGACTTTACTTCATGATTTATTCCGTGAACAGGCTGGAAAAGTGCCTGACAAAGTGGCTGTCTATGGAATAAAAGGCCAGAAAATTACTTATAGACAATTGGACAAATGCACTGATATTTTGGCATGCAAACTGCAAGAGCAAGGAGTTCAACCAAACTGTACAGTTGTTATCTACATGGAACGATGTGTGCAGTACACAGTTTCATATATTGCTATTTTGAAAGCTGGTGAGTCTTTGTCTTCAGAATTTATCCGAAGTTGATACATTTCCTTTACATGATTTATTAGCTGTGTGTATTCCATCTACTAAGATTTAAATGTCAATATGAAATTTTTGTTTCCTTTGCACTTCTAAAATTATGAATATAATAATAATATTGAAAAGATGGTATCAAAATAAACATGTTTCTTCACTATCATTCTGTCCTCTTATTTTCTTATTGGCTAATTACTAATTTTCCTTGCAGTTTTTTGATGTTAAAATTCTGGTGCTAATTCAATGATACATAAGTATAAGAAAGGAAAAATGTTTTTGAGCTGGATTAAAAATTTGTTCACATTTTAATTAAAATTTTAAAATTTTTTAGTTAAAAATAAAATGCTATAATGAAAAGCACTTTCCTCATGAAATGTTTTAACAATGTTTATTTATGATTTTAATAATGTTAATTAATTTCTTATACATCATCACCTTTATGCTTCAAAAATTCAAAATAACTCTTCTTAAAAATTATTGATTTTTTAAATTTTTAAATTCAAGTTCCTGATATTGGCTCCTCAAAATTGAATTGTGAGATTTTTAATGTTTTTATTTGTTTTTTTTTTCCACTACTTACTAAAGAAAGTTATCTTAAATTAAAAAATATTGTTTGGAATTTTAACTAAACGGAAACATATATATATATATATATATTGAACGCTGATGTTGGAGTAAACGGACTTTTTTCATGGTTCTAAGAAAGCGATGTTAAAGAAAGTCTCGATTGTTTTTTTTTGTTTTTAAGAGTTATTGTTATAAGAATATTTGGTAAAATTGCTTTTTAACACCCGCGCTAAATATCTCTTAAAATTTTCCCACATCATCATAATTCCGTGTAACTGTACATGCTGAACTCGAATTAACAATTAAATTATGAAGAAACCTACCGTTTTGTAGTTATTGACAAGAAAAAAAATTGGATTTCTTGTTTGTAATTCGTCCCCCATTACTGCCATCATGAATACTGATTTGGTGCGGGATACTTCCGCTGGCCTTTGGCCTATTTACTTCTTTTATAGACTTTCCTCTCAGAAAATGAACTACGCACTACCATAAAGAAATGTAAATTTTTTTTTGGTAAGTGTAGTTTTATTTATAACAAAAACAAATTAAATAATACAATAGAACCTTTTTTCCGTTTCGAATAGCAATGACAAATTAAAAGAACAAATTAAATAATAAAAATAAAGCATTTTTTATATTTTAAAATTGAAAATATAAAACAAAAATAAATGCACAAACTTGTTAAAGTAGAAGGGTTCTTATTTAATTTTTTTTAATTTGTCTTCTTTTCTACACAGAAAAAAACCCCCACCTCTAACCTTAACACCCAATTCTAAAGTTAACCCGGTTTATTGTATTATTTAATTTTTTTTTCTTTTTTTAATTTTTTCCCTTTTCTACACAGGAAGAAGCACCATCCCTAACTCTAACACCTAATGCTAAAGTTAACCCGGTTTATTGTATTATTTAATGTTTTTTTTTTTAATTTGTCCCCTTTTCTACCCAGGAAGAAGCCAAACAACTCCTACTCCTAACCCTAACACCTAACTCTAAAGTTAACCAAGTTTATTGTATTATTTAATTTTTTAACCTACCACCCCTCGTGAAGATGAACTTGTCTGCCTCGGTGAACAAAGACTTTAAATAGCGGCATGTCAGTTGACATGGGGGTGGGGGGAGACCGATAGACAGAGAAGTTCTTAGCTGAGCGAGTTATCAACTACTCAGGCGATTTCTGTACCTTTTTACCAACCTATTAAAACCCTTTTTATTGTTACGTGTTATTTGGCGTTTGTCTCTACTAACCCCAAATCAACATCATAACAATTGTATTATTTAATGTTTCTTCATAATTTAATTATTAATTCAAGTTCAGCTTGTACATTTACACGGAATTATAACGATTTGGGAAAATTTTAAGAGATATTTAGCGTGGATGTTAAAACGCAAATTTACCAAAGTTTCTTTTATAACATTTAGTATGAATTTTAATTCTTTACATTTTCTTATTTGCAAAGTAACGTAATTTCAATTTTATTGTAAATGCGATTCCAGTTATAACGTTGTTTTTACTGCTAGTCAATTTGTTCTGTTGTTATTGTTCAAATTCTTTTTTTTAATATTTTTTAAAGTTTTTTTTAAGCAACAACAAGAATAATAATAGTAATAAAATTTTCTTATACTTTATAATAATTTATATATATATATATGTATACACACACAGACATATATAAAAACAATAACATTTATAATAATAATTATAAGATATTCTAATAATAATCTTATATTTCTTTATTTTATTTATATTATTTAAAATGTATATATAGCATTATATCGACACATTTAATTTCGAACTATTTACTTTGACATCCCCCTGACAAAAAAAAAAACAAACTTTTTGTGTTTAGGGGGATTGGGAAAACATTTTCATCTAGTACAATATTTTTTGCTCATTTACTAAGTTTATTTTTTTGTCCCTTACCAGGTAATGGGCAGCACTGCTTTTCACCTATAAATCTCTCACGTAAACGTTTCATTAAATAATATAGACAAGTGTTGTCTATTTATTTTATGTAAGACCAACATTTGTCATCCTAAACAATTGGATTTCACAAAAAACTAGACCACATAAAAAGAGATAGAATTTAAGAAAATGCTCTTAACAAGAACCCCCCAACTAAGTTAAAATATCCTTAAACTTATTAATGCTAATAATGCTGAACAGAACTCTTTAAAACTACCCTAAAATTGATTGGTGATTATAGACCTTTCAAAAGCATATATGGCACTATAAAAACACAAAGCTATTACCCTGATTTAGTCTTTATAAATTTACACCAAAATTTTATTCTCATGGATATCATCTCTGACAAAATACATCAACCATTTTCATTATTCCCTATCTTCCTTAGCTGTTGAAAATAGTTTAAGTCAACATTAGAAGTAATCCAAATCCTATAAAAGTGAAAAACTCTGACAATGAAATCATGGTTTCACTTGATGTTGAAAACTTATTTACCAATGTCCCTGTTAGTGAAATTTTTGACATAATTATAAGAAATATAAGAAATATATACATTTAACTCATCTTTACCCCCACTTAAAATTTATTTAATATATTTTTGTTTTTTATTAAATTATTGTTTTAGATTATTATTTCCCTTTCTCAGATGTTAATAACAATATATATATACAACGTGATGGTATTCCATGAGCATGTACTGGGCCCGACATTTAGACAATTTCTACATTTCGTTTCGAAAATAAGTTATTTACAGAAAGAGAAAAAACCATCAATCTACCTTTTTTACGTTGATGATATTTTTATTTTTTTTAAAAATACAGATGAAATAATTCAATTTCAAAACGGGTTTTTTTAATTTTTTTAAATTCACATATTTATTCTTTTTTTTGTTTAATATTTTTTCCTTGACATATCGATAAACACAAATAATAACAAGTTTACTATTTCGCCATACAAAAACCTTTTTTTTAAATTCATTACACTTAACTACAAGAGCGAATGCCCATATTTTACAAAATAGCAATTATTTTTTTTTGGGTTTAATACATCGTGCAGAAACTAATTCATCCATAAAAACATTTTTTTACTAGTGAACTAAAGAATATAAAACAGACACTTATTGTTATATTCCGTTAGTTATGGGAAATCAATTTGGAAATCAATGTGATATCTTTCCGTTTGGTTGCAAACAATGGGATTCAGAATAAAAAGAACAAGAAAGACTGTAGATATATTTTATAATCTTTTTTTAGTGAGGAAAATAAGAACAAGTAAAAGTTCGTATTTACGAATATATAAATATAATATATACCCTTTATATAAGGCGTCGGACGAGAGTTCAATAACAGCAAAAGTCGGATTTTTACTTCGTTTCGTCCTTTGTTGGCCATTTGTGTCAGAAGCGAAGCGACGTGACCCTTCTATTTCCATTATTTGAGTGGTACTAAACTTTTGACTTTCCCGTGTTTTATACACGCCTATCAATTTACAAAAGGCCATTTTTTTGAATACGCGGGAGACGGTTGATTGGTTGATTTAATTCTTTATCCAAAAGGAAGTATTAAATATTAAATAAACCTTAAAGATTAGAGGTTTTCATTTCGTTTGCCAGCGTTAATAAAGCCAATCATCCCAATATTTTGACGATAAAACTAGATCTAAAAACTCAGGCTTGAATTTTAAAATTTAACCCAATATGCGGGCATGGAATATCTTATTTCGAAAATGGCGACTACTATGTTTTATAGCAAAACTATTTATCGTCTTAAAGATGCCCGCACATTTTTTCTCCGTTTTCACCAGAAGACGTTATTTATAGTACGACACGGTCAATACAAATATTCGTATTCAACTAATGACATTTTATTTTTATTAATTTTCGTCAAAACCAAAAAATTTACAGACAGGGCATTATATCTACTGACGAACAACTTTGCAAAATCAAAGATCAGACCTTTTCCGTTTTAAAACCAGAAGAACGTAATAGAAGAGACACGACAGTCGTCGGCAGAAACTTCGTATGTATTTATCTAACCAATAAAATTACCAAATAATTAATTCTGCGTCTTTTTAAAAAGTAAATTCAAAAAAATAATAGACGAGATGATGCATATACCAAATAATTATTTTTTCGGCCCTTTTTTGACTCGTCATTCAAAGTCCTTTACGAGATGATGCATATACCAAAGAATT